GCAAAATATTGTCATTCATTTTTCATTTTATTCTATAATGGCATTGAATTGTACTCAATAAAAATAGCATTTAATATTAAACCAAATGTTCAAGCATTCATAACCTAGTTTACGTTTTTGTCAACAGTATATTTTTTACAATTTTTGACAAAATATAGAATAAATTTCGATATTTTTCATTTCAGTCTAAGATAGTATTGAATTTTAGTCAACACAACATAACATTTGAAATTAAACCAAATGTTCAAGCATTTTAGTCATAAACTAGCTTATTAATGCCATTTTTGAATAAAATTAATATTTAAATTCAGTCAATATTTTGTAATTAATTTCTTTTTCAGCAACTTTAAAACATTGTTGACGAGAAAATAATATTTAAAATAAAATCAAATGTTCATGCATTTTATTCATAACCTAGTTTGCGTTTTTGACAACAGTATGTTTTAATTAAAATTGCTAAAAAAAATACATTTGACAAAATATTAACTGAATTCAGTCATTTTTGTCTTATTTTGATGAGATAAATTTAACAAAGATTTATATACATCATTAAAAGAAATACTGTTTTTTAGTCATGTTGTTGAAAATAGGTCTCTGTACTTAATTGGTTTTAACTTAAGTATTTCTAATATTGCAAAGTCAAGCAAGATGTGTTTAAATCCTCTAGCACCGCTAATAACGATGACGCGAGAAATGATCGATAACTTCAATTTGTCGGTTTCTGCACAAAATGTATTTACAGAGGTATATGGCCTTAGAAATCTCTCATCTTTCCTGGAAATTCATCTTACTTTCTTCTGAAGCGGTCTAGTATATCACGGAGGCAGATTATGTTTGATATACACAGTGTCGCTGCCGTCCTGATAATGATGACTATAAACTCACTGCTTTCCAGTTCCCTTTCAAGACTGCATCTGTCTTGCAGCTGAGCATGCCATAAAAATGTAATCTTCAGAAGATAAAAGGCTCATGAAGACACTCCCCCCCCCCCCCACCCCCAC